CCGCGAGTGGCACGACACTCTTCGTTCTACTCTTTCCGACCTTGGTTTTCAGCCGTCCTCCGCCGACCCGTCGCTGTTTGTTCGTCGTGGGCGCACACCTTTCTTTGTTCTGGTCTACGTTGACGACTTGGTCTTCGCCACAGCCGACACTGTTGCACTGGCGGAGGTGAAGTCCGAACTGCAGAAGAGACACACCTGCACAACCCTTGAGGAACTGCGCCGCTACCTTGGCTTGCAGATCTCCAGGGACAGAGCCGCTCGCACCATCACTCTGACTCAGTCACACATGTCCTTCAGCGGTTCGGGCTTCAGCACTCCTCTCCCACACCCACTCCTCTTGCTGTAGACCACAGACTCACTGGGCCTTTTCCTGACGAGCCGTTCGAGCCCAGTGGTCCCTACGCAGAGCTGGTGGGCTGCCTCATGTACCTGATGACGTGCACTCGCCCGGACCTCGCCTTCCCTCTTAGCATCCTTTCTCGCTTTGTTGCGACTGGGAGACACCGTCCTGTTCACTGGACGGCGGCTAAGAGGGTGGCGAAGTACCTGGCCACGACGTCAGACATGGGGCTTGTACTTGGAAAGATTCAGCCAGTTGTTCTCACCGGTCACTGTGACTCCTCGTACGCTGACGACGCTGAGACTCAGAGGTCTACACAGGGTTACTGTTTCAGTCTGGGTTCTGGAGCTGTTTCGTGGAGGTCTACTCGGTCCTCCTCTGTTGCGACTTCTACCGCAGAGGCCGAGATCTACGCTGGAGCCCTTGCTGCACAGGAGCTGCGCTGGTTGACCTTCTTGCTCACTGACCTTGGCGAGCGGCCGAGCTCTGCACCGACCTTGTTTGCTGACAACAAGGCGATGATTCTCCTGTGTCGTGAGCCGCGACTGGAGAGCAGAGTGAAGCACATTGACGTCAGGTACTTCCTCCTTCGAGAGTTGCAGAGACGCGGACAGGCTCGTCTAGACTTTGTGGCCTCCGAAGCCAACACTGCAGACATCTTCACCAAGGCCCTCCAGCCTTGTGACCACCGCCGGTTTTGTCTGCAGTTAGGCCTCGTTGAGACTGGGTCTAGTTGACTGCTGTAGGGTGCTCTTTGTCTGTTGCTTGCTTGTACCTTATATATATTTGTTTGCACACTTTTGGACTGGCCTTGTGGCCCTTTGCTTGTGCTCAGATTAGGTGGTGACGTTGTGATCCACCCTGAGCTTTGTTTTCTTTCTCTTGCTTTTGACTGGTCTTGTGACCGTAGGTTGCTTGTTGTTGATTGGCCTTCCCCACTTAGGCTATGGGGGTGTGTCAAATATTATAGCCTGTAGTGGGTTGGGCTATATGGGGTACAACTAGTTAGGGTTAGGTTGTGTGCCACAATTCTGTCAATGCAACAGATTCCACTGTAGTTCTCATTCTGACAGCATGCATCACGCGCACACACAATCTCGCGTGCATCAACTCTCACACTCACACATCACACAACGTGCATAACATCGCACTCACTTTTTCGTGGCGGGGTAGAAATGGCCCTTCTTGGCAGGGCGAGCGATGGTCAGGCCCTGCTGGCCCGTGCAGCCGCGACCGGAGTAAAACGTCACGCTCTTGCACATGGCTTTTCCAGTCGCCTTGCCAGCCCGGACAAGCTTCGGGGCATCCCATGTGACGGTGACCTTGGCAGAGCTGCCGACCCTGGAGGTGAGGTCGCTGCACACGGTGGTGCCGCTGGCCTGCTCTACCGGCACCGAGGTGGAGAAGGTGAGGCGCTCAGTGAATTTACGCCCACTCAGCTGCACTTCCGTCTGCACCAGCGGGTCTGAACGGCCGTTGAGACAGTTGAACCGATGATTGATGTGACGATGCCGCGGCCGGCCGGCAAAGGTGGGGATCATGGGAGTTTGTCAACGTTGAGTTGCAGGTGGGACAGGGACAGGGGAAAGAAGAGGAAGAGGGTAGATAGGGCAGAAGGTGCGGGAGGAGTGAGGAGACGAAAACCAGCAATGCCTCTTAGCGGTGTCTACAGAAATGTGTTTGTTGTAACGAAATGCATCGTCTACAGCTCAGCAGTGCAGCTCTCACCAAAGCACGTCTTGTCAGGCTCGTTAAAAAGAAAACCATCCGTGTTGCACTCGCACACGGTATCGGGCCCATACGCAGTGCAATGGGCATCGGGGCCACAGTCCGTGCCAGAGATAGCACACGGATCTGTGGGAACGTCACGGGTGGTTTTGATTAAGAGGGGCAATGGGGCAAATGGAGACGAGCAAAACTCTTGCTTATGGTTGTGAACTCACCCGCACATGCACACTCACCCCCACTCGCTCACTCACCCCGACTCCAGTGAATCAGTGGGGAGGGAGAAGAAGATTGGATGGTATAAGGCTAACAGAGAAACTTCACAGGTCACTTGGAGCAGCAATGACTGATTCTAGCCTAGCCTAGCAGCTCTTCCCTTCTGCCCGCACGAGTACACATAGCGCTCCGCAATAGCTGATTCAACCACTCAGTTGATACCACATTTGACTCGCTCCCATGCCATGCGTGCACTCACTCCCCACCACCACTCACCGTAGCATGTCTTGTCTGTTTCATTGTAGGCTTTACGATCGGGGCAGATGCACTCGGCAGGGCTGTTGGGAACAGGAGCCATGTGTCAAACTTATACACTATAGTCTGCATAGGCTGTAGTGGGGTAGCTCATATGGGGTACAACATTCTAGGGTTTGGTACTTGTACTCCTCATGCTGCTCAATGCATTCATTCTCGTTCCAATTGTCACATGGTATAGAGCAGGTTCCCTCGTGGGAACTGTTCCTAGGGCCCACCGTAAGATTTTTTTTTTCCTGCCCGGAGCGCGCTCCGCCCCTGCCCGAGTCGCGCTCCCCTCCCCTCGCTTCCCTTAGCGGCCCCGTCGCGCCGCGCTTCCGGCCCCGGCGCCGCCTCTGCTGGCCCCGGCGCCCCCCTGTCGCGACCCCGCGGCCCCACCCTCGCGTCGCCCTGCGCGGCGTCGTTACAGCCGCCCGCGACCCCGACGCCGCCCGTCGCGACCCCGTCGCCCTTCGCGCCGCCCGCGACCTCGTCGCCGCGGCCGCCTGCGACCCTACCGCTGCAGCCGCCCGCGACCCTGTCGCCGCAGCCGCCCGCGACCCTGCCGTCGCCGCCGCCCGCGACCCTACCGTCGCCGCCACCCGCGACCCTGCAGTCGCAGCCGCCTGCGACCTCGTCGCCGCGGCCGCCTGCCCTCCCGTCGCCGCAGCCGCGCGCGACTCCTGTGGTCGCAGCCGCCCGCGACCCCCCGTCGCCCCACCCGTGCGACCCCACCGCCGCCCTTTGCGGCCCCTTCGCCATCCCTTCGCGGCCCCGCCGAGCAGCCGCGCCGCCGAGACGCCGCCGCCGCCGAGCCGCCGAGCCGCCGAGCCGTCGAGCCGCCGAGCCGCCGAGCCGTCGTTGCCGCCGAGTTGCCGAGCCGTCGAGCCGCCACTGCCCCAGTGCTGCCGAGCCGCCGAGACGCCGGTGCCGACGAGCTGCCGAGCCGCTGAGCCGCCGAGCCGCCGTTCCTGCCGTCCCGGCCCTGTTCCTGCCGACGCGCCTCGGTCCTTCTCGCCTGCCCGGTAAGAGCAGCGCCTCCACCACTGCTCTGCCCTAGCCTGCTGCTCTCACTGCTAGTCTACTGCTGTCATGGCTTCCCCCAGTGTCCTCACTTTTGACGCTGAGGGTCGGGCCATTGACTTTGACGTCTGGGTAGATGACCTGCAGCTTTTCCTACTGAGCGACAGAGCAGACGGCCTCTCCCTTTTTGACCTCACCTCTGGTGCCTCTCCTGCCCCTGCTGCTGATGCTGACCCCACTGTTCGCTCCCAGTGGGCCACACGCGATGCTGCTGCCCGCCTTGCTGTGCGCCGCCACTTGCCGACCTCTGAGCGTGCGCACTTTAGCCAGTACAAGAGTGCTAAGACCTTGTACGACGCTGTAGTTGCGCGCTACTCTTCCCCTGCCACTGCTGCGCTTAGCCGCCTTATCCTACCGTACCTCTTCCCTGACCTCGCCGCTTTTCCCACTGTCGCTGACCTCATTACGCACCTTCGCACTAGTGACACTCGCTACCGCGCTGCGCTTCCTGCTGAGTTCTGCGCCAAGAACCCCCCCCCCCATGTACATCACCCTCTACTACATAGTCACCCGGCTCCCTGACACCCTTCGCCCGGTTAGGGACCACTTCCTCTCTGTTTGCCCCACCACCCTCACCGTTGACCTCCTCGAGGAGCGCCTGCTCGCGGCAGAGAAGAGCATAGTCGCAGTAGGTGCCTCTCGTGGTGACCCTCGTACCCCTGTCTTTGAGGGGTGCTCCCCCTCTCCCCTCTTGCCCTCTGTTGCCTCTGCTGCTGCGGCCGACCTCGTTGGTCTTGAGTCGGTCGCTGCGGCGTCTGCCCCTAGCGGGAGACGCCGCCCTGGCAAGGGCAAGGGGGGCAAGGGTGCTGGAGGGGCTGGAGGGGGCGGTGGAGGCGGAGGTGGAGGTGGTGGAGGGGGTGGGGGTGGCGGTGGGGGTGGTGGCGGGGGTGGGGGCGTCGGTGGCGGGACTGGAGGTGGAGGTGGAGGCGGCGGTGGCGGTGGGAGCGGAGGTGGCGGAGGTGGCGGTAGTGGAGGAGGTAGCGGCGGAGGCGGCGGAGCTGGTCGGGGTGGCGCTGCGCAGAGGGGTGGCTCCGGTGGTGGTGCGCGCCAGCAGCAGCAGCAGCAGCGTACCCGTGAGACCCCTTCCCCCCAGCAGCTTCGTGAGTGGTACGCTGCTCGTCAGCGGGGTGGGGGTGCTGGCCCCTGCACCTACGTTCTCCGTACCGGCGACCGGGCGGGTGAGCAGTGTGGAGGCCCGCACCCCACCCAGCGCTGCTTCGGTCGGCTGACAGACGCGTGGCGCCACCAGTTCCCCGACGCTACGGAGATCCCTCGCTGGGGCGAGCTGTCTAGGGCGGGTGTTGCAATCTATGATCTTGACTTTGATGCTATTCTTGCTGCCATGTATGCTGTGACTATTAGTGATGAGGGTGACTGTTACCGGTGTTTCCCGCCTGACCCAGGCATAGAGGCTGCTGCGCTAGGTACTTGTGAGGCTGCTGCTCTAGGTGCCAGTGCGTCTGCTGCCCCAGGTGCCGGTGAGTTTGCGCTCTCAGGTGCTGCGTCGCCCCCGGACACCCACACCTTCACCCTTGACTCGGGTGCTTCCCGCTCCTTCTTTCGAGACTGCACCACTCTCACACCGCTCAGTCGGCCTGTTGCGGTCTCCCTAGCGGACCCCTCTGGGGGTCCTGTCCTTGCTCACTACTCCACTGTCCTACCGTGTCCAGCGGTCCCGTCTGGCTCCCTGTCGGGTCTCTACCTCCCCTCGTTCTCTACGAACTTGGTGGCGGGTGCTGACCTCCAGGATGCAGGAGTTGACCAGTTCACCCCTGCGCGTCAGCGGGTGACCCACTGCACTTGTGCGGACACGGGCCGCCACTTGGCCACGTTTGCTCGTCGGCCAGGGTCGAGCCTGTACACACTGACTACTGAGTCTTCCCCAGTCACTGAGTCTGCTCAGGTAGCCGCGTCGGGTCAGGTGTTTGCTGCGGCGTCCAGGTCTGGTCCTGAGTCTGCCCCCTGCTCGTGTCGTCTCCTGTCTCACCGGACTCTCCTCTGGCACCACCGTCTTGGTCACCCCTCCCTGCCTCGCCTTCGAGGCATGGCTTCCCGTCTTCTTGTTTCTGGTCTCCCCCGGTCCCTCCCTCCTCTTCCTCCGGGGCCTGCCCCCACCTGCGTTCCCTGCGTCGAGGGGCGGCAGCGCGCTGCTCCTCACTCCTCCGAGTTTCCTCCGACAGAGGCTCCGCTGCAGACGCTTCACATGGACGTGTGGGGCCCAGCCCGCGTCCGTGGGCAGGGTCAGGAGCGCTACTTCCTGCTGGTGGTTGACGACTACTCGCGTTACACCGCAGTCTTCCCCTTGCGCAGCAAGGGTGACGTCACTGAGGTGTTGATCGCCTGGATCCGCGCGGCTCGTCTCCAGCTCCAGGAGAGTTTCGGCTCCGACTTTCCTGTTCGGCGTCTGCACTCCGACCGAGGCGGAGAGTTCTCCTCTGACCTTCTGCAGACCTTCTGTCGCACACGAGGCATCCGCCAGACCTTCACGCTTCCGGACTCTCCGCAGCAGAATGGGATTGCTGAGCGCCGCATCGGCATGGTCATGGACGTCGCTCGTACGTCCATGATCCATGCGGCTGCTCCCCATTTTCTGTGGCCGTTTGCGGTTCGGTACGCGGCGCATCAGCTCAACCTTCACCCCCGGGTCTCCATGCCGGAGACCTCCCCTGCTTTGCTGTGGACGGGGAAGGTTGGTGATGCGTCGCGTTTTCGGGTCTGGGGATCTAGGGCGTTTGTCCGCGACTTGTCTGCGGACAAGCTGTCCTCTCGTGCTGTTCCCTGCGTCTTCCTTGGCTTTCCCCCTGACGCGCCAGGCTGGCAGTTCTACCACCCCACCTCGCGCCGTGTCTTCGCGTCCCAGGACGTCACCTTTGACGAGTCGGTTCCCTACTACCGTCTCTTCCCCTACCGCACTGCGTCCCTCCCTCCCCCGCCGCTCTTCCTTACACCAGGCCCCCCTCCGGTAGACCCCCTTCCCCCTCAGGGTCCTGCTCCCTCAGGTGTGTCCCAGGTAGATGCAGTTGAGCCAGTCGAGGTAGCTGTTGACTCTGGTACTGCTGGTGGTGCTGAGCCTGGGGGTGCTGGGTCTGGGGGTGCTGCGACTGGGGGTGCTGAGCCTGGGGGTGCTGAGCCTGGAGGTGCTGCGCCTGGGGGTGCTGCGCCTGGGGGTGCTGCGCCTGGGGGTGCTGAGCCTGGGGGTGCTGAGTCTCGGAGTGCGGAGCCTGAGAGTGCTGGACCTGCTCGTCCGGCGTCTGGTGGTGCTGAGCCTGGCGGTTCCTCCGGTGCTTCGTCCCGGCGGGAGCTGCTCTCTCCACAGGAGCTGCGTGAGTGGTTCGCCCGGCGCTGGCGACGTGCTGCTGGAGCTGGTGGTGCTGCAGGAGCTGGGGGTTCTACTGCTGCTGAGAGTGCTGGTGCCGAGGGTCCCAGAGGTGCTCGTACCGAGTGTACTGGAGCTGCTGACCCTACGAGTGCTCCTCCTGCTGGAGCTGGTGGTGCTGCTGGTGTTGCTGGCGCTGGAGCTGCTGGTGCTGCTGGAGCTGCTGGTGCTGCTGGTGCTGCTGGTGCTGCTGGTGCTGCTGGTGCTACTGGCGTTGGTGCTGCTGGAGCTCCTGGAGCTGGAGCTGCTGCGTCTTCGGGTGGTCCGGCTGGAGCTGGAGCTACTGGGGGTGTTGGCGCTGGGGGTGCTCCTGGCGCTGGTGCTGCTGGGGGTGCTGGAGTTGGAGCTGCTGGAGTTGCGGGTCTTCCTGGTGCTGGTGCTCCCGCTGGGGGCGCTGGTGCTGTTCCTGCTGGCACTGGTGGAGCTGCGCGGCCGCGGCCGTACTTCGTTCCGCTCCTTGAGCAGGTTCTTGGTCTTCCGTCCTCTCTTGGTCCTGCTCCTGCCTTAGAGTGTCCGCCTCCTGTCCAGTCTGAGTCACAGTTACAGCCACCTTCCCCGCTTCCTTCTCCTTCTCCCTACACTGGTCCTACTGGAGGTCTTGCTGAGCGTCGTGAGCCTGCGTCTCGCCCTGCGTCGCCTGTCCGTGCTGCTCGCACTAGTGGTCGTGGTTCGCGTCAGCGTCCTCCCCCTGTCCCCGGCACGCACCGGATGTCTCTGCGTCCTTCCACTGCTCCGCTGCGTGCCCCTTTGCCCTCTCCTCCAGCGTCCTCTCTTCCTGAGCTTCCTGACCCGGAGTCGGACTCCCTTCGTGCTGCGCGTCCTACTGTCACGCGTCTCCTTGCTACTGTCGTCACTGACCCTTCCTTTGAGTCTACTGCTGCGTCTGCCCTAGTTGCTGAGCTTGTCGACTTCGCTGCTCGCTGTCGCCTAGACTACGCTACCAGTCTCGTCGCTGAGTCTGAGTCTGTCTGTCCTCCGTCCGTCGGGGGTGAGTGTGCTCTTGGCACGGACGTCCTAGAGGACAGGCAGGAGGAGTTCCAGTGCTTGGCTGCTGTTTCACCTCATCTCGTGTCCATGCTGCTTGCCCCTGAGGGAGACCCGGATGCACTTGACATCCCGACTCCGCGCTCTTACGCGGAGGCGATAGAGGGTCCCTACTCCTCTCAGTGGCAGGCAGCCATGGACGCAGAGATGGCTTCCTGGAAGTCCACAGGCACCTACGTTGACGAGGTTCCCCCGCCTGGGGCGAACATCGTCAGTGGCATGTGGATTTTCAGGGTGAAGCGGCCGCCGGGTTCTCCGCCTGTCTTCAAGGCGCGTTACGTGGCTCGTGGTTTCAGTCAGCGGCAGGGAGTTGACTACTTTCAGACTTTCTCCCCCACCCCGAAGATGACCACTCTTCGGGTACTGCTGCACATAGCTGCTCACCGAGACTACGAGCTGCACTCTCTTGACTTCAGCACTGCTTTCTTGCAGGGCAGCCTTCACGAGGAGATCTGGCTGCGCCGCCCACCTAGCTTCACTGGGACGTTTCCTCCTGGCACCCAGTGGAGCCTCCGGCGGCCAGTCTACGGTCTCCGCCAGGCGCCTCGTGAGTGGCACGACACACTGAGGACTACACTTGCGGCCCTTGGGTTTGCTCCTTCTACTGCCGACCCGTCGCTGTTTCTGCGCACCGACACTTCTTTGCCGCCGTTCTACATCCTCGTGTACGTCGACGACTTGGTCTTTGCTACAGCTGACACTGCTGGACTTGCCTACGTGAAGTCCGAGCTGCAGAAGAGACACACGTGCACAGACCTGGGTGAACTGCGCAGCTACCTTGGCTTGCAGATCACCAGGGACAGAGCACAGCGCACCATTACCCTGACTCAGTCACATATGGTGCAGCAGGTCCTTCAGCGCTTCGGCTTCACGTACTCCTCGCCTCAGGCCACTCCTCTGCCTACGCGCCACTCGCTCTCAGCTCTGCCTTCGGATGAGTCCGTAGAGTCGAGTGGCCCGTACCCAGAGCTTGTCGGCTGCCTCATGTACATGATGACCTGCACTCGACCTGACCTTGCATACCCTCTTAGCATTCTGGCACGCTTTGTTGCTCCTGGGAGACACAGACCAGAGCACATGGCTGCAGCGAAGAGGGTGTTGCGCTACTTGTGCAGTACGTCGGGCATGGGGCTTGTGCTTGGAGGGCATAGTTCAGTGGTCCTCACTGGTCACGCAGACGCTTCTTGGGCTGACGACCAGGCTACGCAGCGGTCGTCACAGGGTTACACCTTCAGCCTTGGTTCCGGCTCTGTTTCTTGGCGGTCTACCCGCTCGTCTTCTGTTCTCAGCTCCAGTTGTGAGGCTGAGATCTACGCAGGGGCCATGGCTGCACAGGAGCTACGCTGGCTCACCTACCTGCTGACTGACCTGGGAGAGCGTCCTCGTTCTCCTCCAGTGCTGTACGTAGACAACAAGGCCATGCTGGCCTTGTGTCATGAGCACAGACTGGAGCACAGAACGAAGCACATCGCTCTCCGCTACTTTCTTGCTCGTGAGCTGCAGCAGCGTGGTCAGCTGCGCCTTGCTTACGTGGCCTCTGAGGCCAACACTGCTGATATCTTCACTAAGGCACTCGCGCCTTGTGATCATCAGCGCTTCTGCACTCTGTTAGGTCTTGTACCTACCTTGCCTCACTTGCTTACTTCTTGACCTTGCTTGTACTGTTACATATATATACCTACATGTTTAGCTTTATATATATGTGACCTTGCATGTGAACTGGCCTTGTGGCCTTGAACTTGTGCTCAGACTGTGTGGTGACGTTGTGATCCACCCTGAGCTTGTTTTGCCTTGCTTTGCTTGACTGGTCTTGTGACCCCTTGTTCTCCCCCACTTTGCCTATGGGGGTGTGTCAAACTTATACACTATAGTCTGTGTAGGCTGTAGTGGGGTAGCTCATATGGGGTACAACATTCTAGGGTTTGGTACTTGTACTCCTCATGCTGCTCAATGCATTCATTCTTGTTCCAATTGTCACACCATGTGCATGCAATCTGCATCCGGCCCGCACTGCTTTACGGCACACGCATCTGCAGGGAAGGACAAGCACATTCCAAATTACAAAAAGACGGGGAAGAGGTTTGAATTTTAAGCCGAAAATAGGGGTATTTTCTTGCACCCACACAGCCACCCTCACACGCTCATGGAGAAGAAAGGAATGGAGACGGAACAAAGGGAGAAAGAAAACGACTGGATTGAGAAGCAACAGCTGAGTCGGACCGAGAGGTATTTCTGTTCAATGCGTGAGAGCACAGGTCACTGAGATGATCCATGGCTGGCAGCCAGTCAGGCGATACCACACTTGACTCGCTCATCTGCACTTACTCGCTCGCCACCACTCACTATAGCACGTCTTGTCTGTTTCGTTGAAGTTACTGGTGCCATCGTCGCACAAGCAGAAAGGAGAGCCATCACGATACAGAAGGCAGGAAGCACTGGGCCCGCATTCATAACCGGCACACGGGCCTGCAGAGCCAATTCGGTGGGCGTTTAAAACGAAATCAGCAGGGCAGCAGCAGGGCACGGAGAGTTGGAAAAACAAAGGGGGTTATTAGTTACGTCCTTGCAATTGCTTACCAACCTTATGGTTCAAGCACACAGTGTACCAGATGTTAGAGCGTGAGAAACAGGAGGAGCGGGAAGCACGAGCAAGCACCCATTGGATTGGGTCGCATGCTGGGTAGCATTCTGGGTGGCGTGCCAGAATGGTTGGAGATCCACCATCAGCCACCCGACTCACTATTATAAGCGGCGCTGGCGTGGGTCGCGAGGAAGCTGATGGCGACGAGACCCGCGACGAGTGCGGCGAGGCCACACAGGCCGGACAGGCGCCCGTAGCGCTCCATCGCGACGGGAGAGGAGACGGCCGCCGGGGAAAACGGGAGAAGGCGAAACGGGGATCAGCAATTGCACGCTACGTGGTGACTATGAGTCGGCGACTCAGGCAACGGGGAGACGGGGAGAAGGGGAGAAGGGAATAAGCGACCGATCACAATCTACCTCAAAAAGCGTCGGCTTCTTTCACGTCAGGAGTTGACGTGCCGTGCCGCGGCCCACGTCGCCGATGCCTCGGCGGCGACGGAAGGTGAGAATACTAAGAGCGACGTGGGACCTAGGTGGGACCTAGAAGGTGGAATACGGCGCGGAGGCAATGGAGAGGCACTCAGTGGCAGCGAGAAGCTGCGTGAGAGGAAGAGCGACTTGTGACTGCGGCTTCGGAAGCGGGCTTTGATTTATGTGCTCAGAGTGGGCGTTCCAGGCTTTTGAAGGTTTCGAAGAAACAGCTTTCGAACAAGTTTGGTCGCCGTCGCACTTTGCAGAATCACGGATTCGACTCAAACAAACACCAGATGTCAATGTCGGTGCGCGTCGCGCGCGTAAATGGATTATGCGATCGCCTGACATGTCAGAGAACTGACGACCTGACTGGTTTTTTCTGCACCAAAAGCGAATATGCGTGGTGTGCTCCATCGCAGAAAAGAGGCTCAGTGGCAGAGCGCAGCAAGCGGAGATTCCGCAGCCTGGCAACGTTTGCCTTGAAATTGCTTGACCCTATGTGGCCTTACTCTCATAGGGGAGGGGGAGGGGAGAGGACCCAGCCCCCAGCCTCTCCCTCTCCCAATCACCTTGCTTGTCCCCCATGCAATTCAACACGCGCAACTGCACGGAGTGTACAATCGCAGCCCTCACACAGCATATCGCGCCGTCATCTCGCCGAAGTGTTACATGTACCAGTACTTTTTCACCTGCCCAATTCTGTCCCAGATTCTCTTGTGGCGAATTTGGCGAAAAAGGCGAAAAGCATGTGCTCGTTTCATACCATTGATAAGGCGAAGGTTGCGTGGGAGGGAGGAAACGCGGTAGGGAGGAACTCGGGAGAAGTGACGCTCGACGAGGGCGGTGATGCGGGGGGAAGGATGTGAGGCATTCACCCAGAGATCACGCAAGGCGGAATAGCTTCTGCCTGAGCTGAGTGCGCTTGCGCGCACGGCATAGCATCAACTGGGGGACTTGTGGAAGGGAGAACACGGCAGACATGGCTGGGTGCCAGCTTCGGCAGGTCTGGTTTCGAACGTGTGGTTGGGGTATGGATGGACACACCAAAGGTGACGCTCGGTATTGTTCTTGTTTATGAGTGTAATACTATAAAGTTCACAATACCATACATCAACAACAGTCTAGGTTGCAGTTCACTCTATACCCATCCTGAGACCTACTGGCAAAGCCAGGGTGTGAAATAACGGGGAATCACAGTTTACCATGTATGTTGTTGGAGTAACCAAAAGCATTTCTAAAGTTGGAGGTAAGACATTAGTTCCAAATAGAGGAGATTTCTCCCCCAAAATCCTATATATTCTGCTCACTCTTGTAAACAACTCTCAGAAAATGTAACACCCGTGTGGGTGTAGGTCGCCATGTCCTGCCTAGCCGCCCTCTGCGACTCAACAGCAGAAACCCGAAACCCGAGGCGAGGGCTTATTCGACAACCCCATTCAGATCCTTGCTGGTACTGCGTTCCGCACTGACGTGGTGCAAGCAGAGCCGCAGATCCAGCTATTGGCGAGCCTCTTATAGTTAGCTAGCGTGAAGCATTTAAAGTCTTGCCATGGCGGGCGGCGGCGCGAGGACGCAGAAGAACAAGGCGCACAAGTCGCGGTTCGGCGCCAAGAGCCAACGCGCCTTGCACAAGGTCGCCAAGGGTACGCCCGTAGTGCCGCCCGTAGTGTCGCCCGCAGTGCCGCTCGCCCGCTCGTTGCCCGCATTTAGGTCGCCGCAACAATCCGTTCAGTAGTTGACTAAATCATCACCAAGGGTAGCATCCTAGCGCTCGTCCGCTCGTCCGCTCGCATTTAGGTCGCCGCAACGGTCCATTCAGTGGTTGACTCAAGCGTCACCAACCAAGGGTGGCATCCTAGCGCTCGTCCGTTCGCCGCGCCTCTCTTGTGACGTCACCGCATCGCCAAGGGCCGGGCGCATCCCCTCGCTTTCGCTCGCTGCGCTGCTTACGACGTTATTCGCAATAACGAAATCGACGTGCGAAACCCCGAGCGTCAGCGTAACTAGTTAATTGTTTTCCAGCTTCTAGCGACGCTCGTCACGGGATTCCCACTCGCTCCCTGGCCAGCCTTTTGCCTACAGCTGCAAGCGAAAACCCGCTCGTTCTTCCGCGTTTTTCCCTCTAACCTGGACGCGCCTGAATCCCCCCGAATACTTCCCCCCAAATTCCGCCCCCAGCGTCAGACGGCGGAGCAGCAGGGGCAGCGCGCGGGGGCGCGAAGGGCAAGGGGAAGGGCCATGGCGCCGTCGCCAAGGCGGAGAGGCTCAACCGCAACAAGCTGGTACGATAGGGTTACCAGCAGTTCGCATGGCTAGATTTTCGTATCCAGGAGACAGTTCAGGCCAGGAGGGCAGGAAAGCAGACCAGACGGGCAGATAAGTAGGGCCCACCAGGAGGACAGGCTAAGAGGGAGGAGGGCTCACCGGGGGGGCAGGCTAAGAGAGGGGTGTGCTCACAAGGGGGCAGGTCAGAGGGGCAGGTCAGAGGGGCAGGTCAGAGGGGCAGGTCAGAGGGGCAGGCCAGCGGGGCAGATGAGGGGGTAGAGCAGCAGACCCTGGCGGCGCTGGCAGTGGCGCATCAAGGGCGGAGCAACTTGCTGGCTGCTTGTTTGTGCTCCTTGCTGTGAAGGGAATAGCCTGAGGCGAGGGGTTTTGCGTCCCGTGGGGATGGGCGACCAGGAGTAGGGCGGAGGTTCAGGGTTTAAGTCTTTGGCCAGTGAATGGGTTTCACACAACTACTATTTAAGATCCAGGTTTTAGGGCTTCTGTCGCCAACTCCTCTTCTCCTCTCCTCTCCATCCCCTTCCCCCGTCTCTCCGTGTCCCTCCATCCCCTTTGCCATATGCCAATGTGCTCCCTTAAACCCTTCCCCCTTGCCCCCCTCCCACACCCTGTCGTCTCACTCTCAGCTGCGGGACAGGAAGCGTGCGGACGTGCTGGCGTTCAAGAGACCTCTTTCTATTGCCACCTCTCTTCCCCTTTTTTCACCTGTTCCCACTTCCTCGTCTCTCCTCACCTGTTCTTCCCCCCCACAGCTGCGGGACAGGAAGCGTGCGGACGTGCTGGCTTCCAAGCCTTTTTCCACTCCCTCATATCTTCCCCTTTTTTCACCAATTCCCTTCCTCGTCTCTCCTCACCCTGTTCTTCCCCCCACCAGCTCCGGGACAGGAAGCGGGCGGACGTGCTGGCGGCCAAGTGACCGTTTTCCACTCCCTCATCTCTTCCCCGTTCATCCCTTCTCCCCCCCTCCCTCCCAACCCCTTTCCCCCACCCCACCCCCTGTCTTCTCGCTCTCAGCTGCGGGACAGCAAGCGAGCAAGCGTGCTGGCGGCCAAGCGGGCACTCTCTGCTTCCACTGCCTCATCTTGACTGCCGCACGAGCACACCCACCCCACCCACCACTTCATCCATCCCTTCCCCCCCTCAGCTGCGGGACAGCAAGCGAGCAAGCGTGCTGGCGGCCAGGCGGGCACTCTCTGCTTCCTCCACGCCGCCCCGTATCGTGGTGAGTCGCCCCCCTTTGAAGCCAGGCGTGCTTAAATCTGCAATGGTGAGTCGCTCCCCTGGGGTCAGGTAAGTTCAAATCTGCAACGGTGTGGTGTGGGACAGTCCCCTGAGTCGAGTGGGATTCAGGTTTGAACTCAGGGGTTCAAGGATTGGGAGTATTCCATCAGGGGTTCAAGGTCGGAACCTGACCCCTTCACGCCTCCACTCCTCCTCTCCTCCACTCCTCCACGTCTCCGCTCCATTCCTTCCTCTTTTTGCCTTTACCCCCCAACTGAATCCCCCCCTTTTCCCCCATGCTTTTCTTGCATCCCCCGTGCTCTTGCATCCCCCGTCCGTTGTTTCCCCCGCCCCCCACCCCTGTGCGTGGCAGCTTCTGATTGGTCTATCTCGCCAGGTGGACGTGACTCACCTGGCGGATACGTTCGTCGCTCACTTCTTGCACCCCCCAACCCCCTGTGCGTGGCAGCTGCTGATTGGTTTATCTCGCCAGGTGGACGTGGCTCACCTGGCGGATACGTTCGTTGAGGCATACGCTGCCTCAGGTGCCTCTCAGGTGGGTCTCTGATTAAACCAGGTGCCTCTCAGGTAGGTCACTGCTTACATTAGGTGCCTCTCAGGTAGGTCTCTGCTTACACCAGGTGCCTCTCAGGTAGATCTCTGCTTACATCAGGTGCCTCTCAGGTAGATCTCTGCTTACATCAGGTGCCAATCAGGTGGTTCAGTGATTTCTTCAGGGGTTGGGGTTCGGAGCAAGTTGCAAATATGTGTCCAAGTCCTGATACTTGTACAAAACCTTGTGTGCTCACCCTTCAACTCTTCTCTCTCTCCTCTCCCTTCCCCTTCACCGCTCCTCTGCTCTTCACCATCCACCCCTCTCTCCCTTCCCCGTCACCCCTCCGAATTCCCATTTCCCGCATTTTCTCGGCATCCTTTGCTGCTCCTCCCCTCTCTTTTCCTCCTTCCACCCTCCCAGTTTCTTCTCGTAGGTAACATAGGTAACACCCGCATAGAACTCTGGTTTCCCTCCTTCTTTATCCTCTACCCCCAATCAACTCCCAACCCTTATACCCCTTTTCTCTCCCACCTCCCCCTTTCCCCCTAAAACCCCAACCCGCCTCACGGCATCCCAACCCCCCCTCCCCTCCCACTTCCCTTGCTGCAGTCTACAGGCGCGCAAGCAGCAGCAGGGCAGGGAATGGAGGTGGAAGGGGAGATGCGGAGGGCGTCAGGGGAGGGCGCAGGGGGTGGGGGGCGTGCGCCTGGTGGCTCTGCCCAAGCTCAGGGCGCGCTTTGCTGTGAGTGTTTACCCAGTGCTGTGCTGCATTCACTTACAGTGTGTCAGTCTGACGGAAGTGCGGAGGAGGTGTGTGTGGGGAGGGCGTGCGCCTGGTGGCTCTGCCCAAGCTCAGGGCGCGCTTTGTTGTGAGTGCTTTGCTGTGCGGGCTTTGCTGTGAGTGCCTCCCCTGTGCTGCTTTCACTTACAGCTGTGTCAGTCATCCATCCATCCATCCATCCATCCATCCATCCATCCATCCATCCATCCATCCATCCATCCATCCATCCATCCATCCATCCATCCATCCATCCATCCATCCATCCATCCATCCATCCATCCATCCATCCATCCCCTCTCCCTACGCCACCCAGGTCGTGCCGTGCCCACCGGGAGATCTGCTGCGATGCCTCGAGCTCATTAAGGTGATCCTTCTCCTTTGATGCTTGATGCCCCATCAATGCTTTACGGAGGTACACGAAATGAGGGAGTTTTTGTGACGTCGCGAAACGCCCTCCAGGGGATCTGCTGCGATGCCTTGAGCTCATCAAGGTGATTCTTCGCGTTTGATGAACCCCATCCCATCGCTGCTTTTACGTAACGAAAGTGTCTTTTTCTTACTGACTGACTTCTCGATTGAAGCTTGCCAAAGAGCACGTGCTCCCCCTTCTCCCAGATCGCAGATGTGGTAACCTTTGCATCTACGATCGAAATTTCTTTTAAGTCTGCTCAAAAGTCACCTCATAACCCTCTACCCTCTACCCCCCGCCCCTCAACCCCCCACTCCCCCCACCCCCCCCCCTCCCTCCCAGATCGCAGATGTGGTAATCTTTGCAACTACGATCGAAATTACTTTTAAGCTGCTCAAAAGTCACCTCATAACCCTCTAAACCCTCTACCCCCCCCCCCCGCCCCTCACCCCCCCACTCCCCCACCCCCCCCCTCCCAGATCGCAGATGTGGTAATCTTCGCATCTACAATCGCCCCTCTCGACCCGCTCCCCCCCTCCACACATCAGCCCTCTCCACCTCCTCCCTCCACACCCACACCACATCACACTCCCACACTCACTCCCTCCGCACCACCACCAGCAACAAATCCTCCTCCTCCTCATCCCCCTCTGCTGCGGCCTACATTGACGACTGGGGCCGCTCAGCCCTCTCTGTGGCGCGGGCGCAGGGCCTGCCCCTCCAGGTCGCTCTCGCTTCCAGCCTCTCCTCCCCTGTCTCCTCCTCTGCGGCTTTTGCTGCTACCTCGCTTGCTCCATCCTCCTCCTCTGCTTCTGCGCTTTTTGACGCTTCCATGCTCCCGTTGGGTCACCAGCAGCAGCAGAAGGCGGGGGGCGGGGAGGGGAAGCGGCACGCGGAGCAGAGGAAGGCGGCGCTGGCGGTGCTGGGAGGGGAGTTTCCCAAGGGCAACGTGCCATGTGTTTGCCGTCGACTCACTCGCTGAGATGGCACCGGTGAGTTAAAAAAGAAAGGGAGAATGCGAAGCATGCGCACACAGAGGATGGGGGCTGTGTGTGGCGGTGTGGTGCTGGGAGGGGAGTTTCCCAAAGGCACGTGCCATGTGTTTGGCGTCGACTCACTCGCTGAGATGGCACCGGTGAGTCAAAGAAAGGGAGAATGAGAAGCATGCGCACACAGAGGATGGGGGCTGTGTGTGGCGGTGTGGTGCTGGGAGGGGAGTTCCCCAAAGGCACGTGCCATGTGTTTTGCAGTCGAGTCTCTTGCGGAGATGGCACCGGTGAGTCAAAGAAGGGGAGAATGCGAAGCATGTGACGCAGAAGAAGCAGGCTTTGTATTGCTGTGAAGGTGCTGGGAGGGGAGTTCCCCAAAGGCACGTGCCATGCGTTTGCAGTCGAGTCTCTTGCCGAGATGGCACCGGTGAGTCAAAGAAGGGGAGAATGCGAAGCATGTGACGCAGAAGAAGCAGGCTTTGTATTGCTGTGAAGGTGCTGGGAGGGGAGTTCCCCAAAGGCACGTGCCATGCGTTTGCCGTCGACTCACTCGTTGAGATGGCACCCGTGAGTTGGTCTGGTTGGCGGGGATGCCACAAGGGAAGGCATATAGCAAGCAGGTGGGTGGTCCAATTTCCAGCCACGTACTCAGATGGCGGTGGTTAGTCAAAGGAATGGGAGAGTTCAAAGCATTTGCGCCCTGCCCTGATGTTTTTTTTTTTTTTTTTTTTTTTTTTTTTTTTTTTTTTTTTTTTTTTTTTTTTTTTTGTTCCCATCCTGTTTTTATCCATCTCGAATATTTCCCTGCGTCGCCTCTCCCCCCCTCACCGAGCTGCAGGTGGTGCGGCACATAGCAGAGCATCGCCCCGTCACTCCTGGCTGGCGAACTCACCGCCCGTACCTCGTGGCACACGATGTGAGTCTATTGCCATGTGCGCAAGCACACATGCACTCACGCACACCACACACTCTCCTGGCTGGCGCACGCACCGCCCGTACCTCGTGGCACACGATGTGAGCCCTTTGTGTGTTTGCCATTACACACGCGTGCGCACACACGCACACACGCACACGCACGCACACACGCACACGCACGCACACACGCACACGCACGCGCGCACGTGCACACACACACGCACACACACACATACGCATGCGTCGTTTTTACTCCACCTTCCCCTAGCTTCCTGTCTCTCCTCAGCCCATGTCATCCACCCCTGTGCGCCTCTCGCTCCCTCTCCCTCTCGCTCCCTCTCCCTCTCGCTCCCTCTCCCTCTCGCTCCCTCTCCCTCTCGCTCCCTCTCCCTCTCGCTCCCTCTCCCTCTCGCTCCCTCTCCCTCTCGCTCCCTCTCCCTCTCGCTCCCTCTCCCTCTCGCTCCCTCTCCTCTCGCTCCTCTCCCTCTCTCGCTCCCTCCCTCTCCTCTCCCTCTCTCTCCGCTCCCTCCCCTCTCGCTCCCCTCCCTCTCGCTCCCTCTCCCTCTCGCTCCCTCTCCCTCTCGCTCCCTCTCCTCTCTCTCCCTCTCCTCTCGCTCCCTCCCTCTCGCTCCCTCTCCCTCTCTCTCCCTCTCCCTCTCGCTCCCTCTCCCTCTCTCTCCCTCTCCCTCTCCTCCCTTGCCCTCTGCCCTTCCCATTCCCGCTCCCTCTCCCTCCCTCTCCCTCTCCCTCTCTCCCACCACCAGTTTGACTTCATCCCCGGCGCAGCCGACGCAGGCGCTGCAGCAGCCACAGGGAGCACGCCATGTGGCACGTTGCGAGTGGTGGGCTACGTGCGCGGGCATGGAATCAACGTGAATCAGCTGGTGAGGAGATCTTGAGGGGGATCTATGCCCGTGAGGGGGATCTGTGCCCGTGAGGGGGATCTGTGCCCGTGAGGGGGATCTGTGCCCGTGAGGGGGATCTGTGCCCGTGAGGGGGATCTGTGCCCGTGAGGGGGATCTGTGCCAGTGAGGGGGATCTGTGCCCGTGAGGGGGATCTGTGCCCGTGAGGGGGATCTGTGCCCGTGAGGGGATCTGTGCCCGTGAGGGGGATCTGTGCCCGTGAGGGGGATCTGTGCCCGTGAGGGGGATCTGTGCCCGTGAGGGGGATCTGTGCCCGTGAGGGGGATCTGTGCCCGTGAGGGGGATCTGTGCCCGTGAGGGGGATCTGTGCCCGTGAGGGGGATCTGTGCCCGTGAGGGGGATCTGTGCCCGTGAGGGGGATCTGTGCCCGTGAGGGGGATCTGTGCCCGTGAGGGGGATCTGTGCCCGTGAGGGGGATCTGTGCCCGTGAGGGGGATCTGTGCCCGTGAGGGGGATCTGTGCCCGTGAGGGGGATCTGTGCCCGTGAGGGGGATCTGTGCCCGTGAGGGGGATCTGTGCCCGTGAGGGGGATCTGTGCCCGTGAGGGGGATCTGTGCCCGTGAGGGGGATCTGTGCCCGTGAGGGGGATCTGTGCCCGTGAGGGGGATCTGTGCCCATGTGCCCATGTGCCCCTCACTTGACTGTGCGTCTGTGAATCGGGTGGTGGGGAGAATGAATGACCTGGTGGGGAGAATGAATGACCTGGTGGGGAGAATGAATGACCTGGTGGGGAGAATGAATGACCTGGTGGGGAGAATGAATGACTTGGTGGGGAGAATGAATGACTTGGTGGGGAGAATGAATGACCTGGTGGGGAGAATGAATGACCTGGTGGGGAGAATGAATGACCTGGTGGGGAGAATGAATGACCTGGTGGGGAGAATGAATGACCTGGTGGGGAGAATGAATGACCTGGTGGGGAGAATGAATGACCTGGTGGGGAGAATGAATGACCTGGTGGGGAGAATGAATGACCTGGTGGGGAGAATGAATGACCTGGTGGGGAGAATGAATGACCTGGTGGGGAGAATGAATGACCTGGTGGGGAGAATGAATGACCTGGTGGGGAGAATGAATGACCTGGTGGGGAGAATGAATGACCTGGTGGGGAGAATGAATGACCTGGTGGGGAGAATGAATGACCTGGTGGGGAGAATGAATGACCTGGTGGGGAGAATGAATGACCTGGTGGGGAGAATGAATGACCTGGTGGGGAGAATGAATGACCTGGTGGGGAGAATGAATGACCTGGTGGGGAGAATGAATGACCTGGTGGGGAGAATGAATGACCTGGTGGGGAGAATGAATGACCTGGTGGGGAGAATGAATGACCTGGTGGGGAGAATGAATGACCTGGTGGGGAGAATGAATGACCTGGTGGGGAGAATGAATGACCTGGTGGGGAGAATGAATGACCTGGTGGGGAGAATGAATGACCTGGTGGGGAGAATGAATGACCTGGTGGGGAGAATGAATGACCTGGTGGGGAGAATGAATGACCTGGTGGGGAGAATGAATGACCTGGTGGGGAGAATGAATGACCTGGTGGGGAGAATGAATGACCTGGTGGGGAGAATGAATGACCTGGTGGGGAGAATGAATGACCTGGTGGGGAGAATGAATGACCTGGTGGGGAGAATGAATGACCTGGTGGGGAGAATGAATGACCTGGTGGGGAGAATGAATGACCTGGTGGGGAGAATGAATGACCTGGTGGGGAGAATGAATGACCTGGTGGGGAGAATGAATGACCTGGTGGGGAGAATGAATGACCTGGTGGGGAGAATGAATGACCTGGTGGGGAGAATGAATGACCTGGTGGGGAGAATGAATGACCTGGTGGGGAGAATGAATGACCTGGTGGGGAGAATGAATGACCTGGTGGGGAGAATGAATGACCTGGTGGGGAGAATGAATGACCTGGTGGGGAGAATGAATGACCTGGTGGGGAGAATGAATGACCTGGTGGGGAGAATGAATGACCTGGTGGGGAGAATGAATGACCTGGTGAGGAAAACGATTAGGCGACTGACGTAAATGGGGGTGGCTGTACAGGGTTTCGAGTGTGGTGAGGTCGATTGACCAGGTGCTGTGCCTTTTTGAGAATTCTCAAAAGTCACACGAATATAGCTGTGCTGGGCCCCTGTGCTGGGCCCCTGTGCTGCTGGGGGAGCACTTAGGATGCTCCTCTTTCCTCTTTCTCCCACTCCCCCCCTCTCCTCTCCCTGAACAGGTGCACATCACAGGAGTGGGAGACTTTCATCTCACTCAGATCGACCAAGTGCCCGACCCCTGTGCTGCTGCCGAGCATGGGACGCCGGGGGGGAGGGCCGGTGGAAGCAAGGGAAAGGAGAAGAGGAAAGGGGGGAAGGCGAACGTGGGAATGGAGGTAGAGGAGGGAGAGGAGGTAGAGGAGGGGGAGGAGGGGAAGTGGAGGATGAGGGGGAGGAGGAGGAGGGGGGAGTGAGAGAGCTGGCTCGGTCGACTGCTGAATTGAGGGATCCGCTTGTGGTGCTCAATACACCTGACCCGCTGGCCGGCGAACAGGTGAGGATAGAGGGGCGAGTGCACGTGAGGGGGATGGGTGGTGACACGTAGGCTAGGCTGGCTCGGTCGAGTGCCGAGTTGAGGGATCCCCTTGTGGTGCTCAATACACCTGACCCGCTGGCCGGCGAACAGGTGAGGATAGAGGGGCGAGTGCACGTGAGGGGGATGGGTGGTGACACGTAGGCTAGGCTGGCTCGGTCGAGTGCCGAGTTGAGGGATCCCCTTGTGGTGCTCAATACACCTGACCCGCTGGCCGGCGAACAGGTGAGTGAGAGGAGATAGCGCAGGGAAGGGAGAGATGGAAAGTGGAGAGCGAGGGTGGTGGCTTGGTCGAGTGCGGAGCTGAGGGGTCCGCTTGTTGTGCTCAACACACTTGATCCGCTGGCAAGCGAACAGGTGAGAAGTATGGGGAGGAGGGGGGGCGGGGGGAGCAGGTGAGAAGTACAGGAGCGGGAAGCTGGCAAGTTGAGTTGAGGGATCCCCTTGTGGTGCTTGACACACCGGACCTGCTGCCAGATGAACAGGTGCGGCTAGCAGGGAGGGAAGAGTGGGGTAGGGCAGGGAAGGGGGAGATGGAAAGAGGGGAGCGAGGGTGCTGTCTTGTTCGAGTGCCGAGTTGAGGGATCCCCTTGTGGCGCTTAACACACCAGACCCGCTGGCAGGCGAACGGGTGCGGTACGTCCCTTTCACAACCCCATCCATCTCATCTTCCTGCACCCCTCCCTCCATCCCCTTCTCCCGTTTCCCCCCCTTCGCCCAGACGTGGCCGACAGAGGAAGAAATGGCAGCAGCAGAGGCGGAGGAGGGAGATTTGTAAGCAGCACAGAATACATGTGATTGACACAGCGGACATGCTTTCCCTCCTCCCCTTCACCCCCCTCTTGCGCAGACGTGGCCGACAGAGGAAGAGACGGCAGCAGCAGAGGCGGAGGAGAGGAAGAGTGTTGTAAGCAGCAAAGATTGCATGTGATTATCACAGCGGACATGCTCTCCCTCCTCCCCTTCTTCCCCTTCCCCTTGTTCCCCCTCCCACAGACGTGGCCGACAGAGGAGGAAATGGCAGCAGCGGAGGCGGAGGAGAGGAGGAGAGCAGAGAGCAAGGCTCTGGGAGGGGGGGAGGGAAGGAGGGGAAGGGTGGGGCCAGGCGCATTCGGGTGCCAAAAGGGACCTCCAGTTACCAGGTGTGCTCTGATACCTTCTTTTATGCTTTGATACCTTGCTCTGATACCTTTTTTATGCTCTGATACCTTTTTTATGCTCTGATACCTTTTTATGCTCTGATACCTTTTTTTATGCTCTGATACCTTTTTTATGCTCTGATACCTTTTTTATGCTCTGATACCTTTTTTTATGCTCTGATACATTTTTTTATGCTCTGATACCTTTTTTATGCTCTGATACCTTTTTTATGCTCTGATACCTTTTTTATGCTCTGATACTTTTTTTATGCTTTGATACCGCTTTGATGCTTTGATACGGTTGTGAAGGACTCCTATGGTGCATTGATAAAATTTTGTTTTCTGTCTGTTATGCGTTGCTGCCTAATCCATGTTCCCCTCCCCCACTCCCTTGTTTTTTTCGTTGTGTGGCTGTTTGGTGTCAACATGCGTCGCTGCAAGCTTGTTAAGAAGATTTCATGAAGCTCCTCAATATTTGCATGAGGATGAATGATTATAACATGTAGTTTTGTTTGTTTGTGTTGATTGTTTGTGCTCCTTGTTTGCGTTGGATTGCAGGCAGCATGGATGCAAGGCGGCGACGAGGAGGAGAGCGAGGGAGATGAGGAGGACGAGGAGGAGGAGGGAGAGGAGGGAGAGGAGGCAATGGAGGAGGGAGAGGAGAGGGATGTGGGGGAACAGGGAGGAGCCGAGGAGGAGGAGGGGTCGGGGAGTGATTGGGAGGAGGTGGATGAGGATGAGGGAGTGGGAGGGGAGAGGCTAGAGGGAGGCAGCACTCACGATGGGCTCATGGTGCGTGTGTGCTGCTTTCATTTCATGCCAAGCGTTGCGCCTCCCTACAGCTCCCTGCGTAGCACCTCCATCCCTTTCCTTCCACCTCTCATCCATCCACCTTTCACCTTCCACATTTCGTCCACCTTCTTTTGTGTTTGTGGTACAATGAGCACGATGCAGGATGAGAACAAATTCACTCCCTTGCTTCCCCTCTCATCCCTCCCCTTGTGTGGCTGTGGCTGGATGAGAACGGAGCAGAGACAGAGAGGCAACCTTAGAGACGTGACGTACCTTGGGAGGCAGCCATCTAAACCCTTCACACAGAAACATGACGACAATGCATCCTCCATCCGCACTCACCCCTCCCCACTCCCCCCTCCCCGTGTGTGGCCCTGGCAGGAGGAGGATGATGCAGAGGGGGAGGCGGAGAAGAGGGCTCGAGCACAGTGGGAGGAGATGAAGCGACTGAGGGCACAGCAGCAGGAGGACCAGGGTGCGTGTGGTGTGGTGTGGTGTCGTGTCGTGTCGTGTCGTGTCGTGTCGTGTCGTGTGGGATGTAAGTTCAGGGTGGGTAGTGTAGGTGGACACGCCCGAGGACATCCCGGCGCGCCAGCGCCTCACCTTCCCATCCCGTCTCCCCCATCCCCACTCTCCCCCATCCCCACTCTCCCCCATCCCCACTCTCCCCCATCCCATCTATGTCCTTGCTCCTTCTGCTCCTTCTGCGCCAGAGTTCCCCGACGAAGTGGACACGCCCGAGGACGTCCCGGCGCGGCAGCGCTTTGCCAAGTACCGCGGGCTCAAGTCCTTCCGCTCCTCGCCCTGGGACCCCAAGGTGCTGTGCGGTGATGTGCGGTGCGATGCTGTGTGGTGTGATGTTCCTTCCGCTCCTCGCCGTGGGACCCCAAGGTGGGTGGGTGGAGCCACTGAACACCCTGCCTGCTGTCGTGAGCTGATGTCTGGTGCAGTGCGGTGCTGTGCAGTGCGGTGCGGTGTGATGCCCTTTAGTCTTCTCATTGCTTTGCCAAGTACCGCGGGCTCAAGTCCTTGCGCCTGTCGCTGCATGGATCCCAGGCATGGGCCCCACGCATGGACCCCAGGCATGGACCCCAGGCATGGACCCCAGGCATGGACCCCAGGCATGGACCCCAGGCATGGATAAAAGGTGTGGCGGGGGAAGACCTGCATTGCATCTTCTCCTTGGACAACTGGAGAAGGAAGCACAAGTCGGCAGGGGAGAAGACAGCACTGTAGCATCCCCCACATTCCCTTCACTAAACCAACCCCTTCCCCAACCCAACCCCCCCTCTGGCGCCCACAGGTGTCCCTTCCCCCCGAGTATGCCCGCATTTTCTCCTTTGACAACTGGTAGAGCTTTTGATTCCATCTCTGTTATGGCATCCCTCCCCTCCCCCGCCCACCCGCTCTCCTGTCTCCCACGCCACAGGAGTCTCTCCCCCCCGAGTATGCGCGCATCTTCTCATTTGACAACTGGAAGAGGACGCACAAGGCAAATATGGGAGAGGACAGCAGTGCAGCATGTCTCACATTCCCTTCACTAAAACCCCTTCCCCCTCCAACCAACCCCACAGGAGTCCCTCCCCCCCGAGTATGCGCGCATCTTCTCCTTTGACAACTGGAGGAGGACGCACAAGGCGGCGGAGGAGACTTTGAGTCGAATATGACTTCCCTTCCCCTCCACCCACCCCCTCTCATCTGACGGCCTCAGGAGTCCCTCCCCCCCGAGTATGCGCGCATCTTCTCCTTTGACAACTGGAGGAGGACGCACAAGGCGGTGGAGGAGCGGGTGGCAGCGGTGGACCGGGGCGAGGTGCCGGGGTCGGTTGGGGCGGGGACGTTTGTCAGGTTGCACATTATGAACGTGCCGTGCTCCGAAGCAGGTTCGAACATTACGAGCCTTACCGATGATGTCCCTTTTTTATGTGTGGATGTACATTGTGGAAGTTTATGTGTGGGTGTACATTGTGGAAGTTTATGTGTGGATGTACATTGTGGAAGTTTATGTGTGGATGTACATTGTGGAAGTTTATGTGTGGGTGTACATTGTGGAAGTTTATGTGTGGGTGTACATTGTGGAAGTTTATGTGTGGATGTACATTGTGGAAGTTTATGTGTGGATGTACATTGTGGAAGTTTATGTGTGGATGTACATTGTGGAAGTTTATGTGTGGGTGTACATTGTGGAAGTTTATATGTGGGTGTACATTGTGGAAGTTTATGTGTGGGTGTACATTGTGGAAGTTCATATGTGGGTGTACATTGTGGAAGTTTATGTGTGGGTGTACATTGTGGAAGTTTATATATGGGTGTACATTGTGGAAGTTTATGTGTGGGTGTACATTGTGGGAGTTTATATGTGGGTGTACATTGTGGAAGTTTATGTGTGGGTGTACATTGTGGAAGTTTATGTGTGTGTGTATTTGGTACTGTGCATTGCAATGTGTAAGCATTCAGCATTGCATGGAGGTGGGTAGGTGCATGCGTTATTATAATCATGACCCTTATTCCCGGTACATGCCTTGCTTTCAGCATCTTGACCACACGGTCCTTTCTTTATACACAAACGCCTTGGTAATCCTCAAGGCCCTCGTTTTACCCTCTCTTTCCGCCGATCCCCTCCCATCTCCCCTCCCTACCCCCCCACCCACCTCTTGATCAGAGCGCCTCAAGCATGAGTCGACCAATCGCGGGCTGCCAGTGGTGGTGACGGGCCTGCTGCAGCACGAGACGCGCATGACGGTGCTGCTGCTGCACTTTTCGGTAAAAAAGGCCGACTCCTTCGCCGCCCCCATCAAGTCCAAGCAGCGCCTCCTCTTCCACTGCGGCTTCAGAAGGTTCTACACACGGTGAGCGGCTTTATATGCAGTCAGTGACGGGTGCTGGTAGTGAGTGTCGTCGCCGGTGTTGGTGGTGCCACCGCCCCCATCAAGTCCAAGCAGCGCCTGCTCTTCCACTACGGCTTCCGACGCTTCTACACGCGGTGAGTGCTGGTGGTGCTGGTGGTGCTGGTGGTGCTGGTGGTACATGTGGTCAGTGCTTGTGCTTGCAGGTGGTGAGTGTTGATGGTGGTGCCACCGCCCCCATCAAGTCCAAGCAGCGCCTCCTCTTCCACTGCGGCTTCCGCCGGTTCTACACGCGGTGAGTGTCGGTGCGGCCGCTGGTGGTGGCGTCTTGAGGTGACTGCTGGTTGCTGGTGGTAAGTGTCGGTGGTGGTGGTACCGTTGCCCCCATCAAGTCCAAGCAGCGCCTCCTCTTTCACTGCGGCTTCCGAAGGTTCTACACTCGGTCAGTGCTGGTTGCGAGTGATGGTGGTGGTGGTGCTGCTGCTGCTCCTTCTTCTTGCGTTGACAGCTGAAGTTGTCATTCGCATACAACCACTGCCCTCCCCACCCCTTCCCCTCGCCCCTTCACCCCCCCCAAAACCCCCAACCCTACCTTCTCAACGGATGACATCAACCTGGGCGAGCACAAGGTTGGGAAACACAAGCTGAAGCTGCGATTTGCATTCAACTCAACCATTGCTCCCCCTCTCCCTCCCCCCCCTCCCGCAACCTTCCAACCCTTCACCCCCCCCCCCTCCCCCCACCCCCCACGCCCCCAGCCCCACCTTCTCAACGGACGACATCAATCTTGACAAGCACAAGTCATTGGCTTTCAACCAATGTCCTCTCCACCCCTTCCCCTCTCCCCTTTCCTTCACCCCCTCCCCTCCCCAGCGCCACCTTTTCAGCGGACGGCATCAACCTGGGCAAGCACAAGTTTGATGGTTTTTTTTCCTCCACCCTTACCAATCAACCGCTGTCCCTCCTCCACTCTCCTCCTCCCTCCCCTTAACAATCCTCCCCCCCTTCCCTCCCCCACACCCCCCCCCAGCGCCACCTTCTCAACGGACGACATCAACCTCGATAAGCACAAGTTTAGAAGCACCCAAACAGCAAAAGCTGTGATATGTACTGAACCATTGTCCCCCCCCCACCCACCCCCCCAGCCCCACCTTCTCAACGGACGACATCAACCTCGATAAGCACAAGTTCGAGCGCTTCCTGCACCCGGGAAGGTTCGCGGTAGCTTCCATCTTTGCGCCCACGCTCTTCCCGCCGCTCCCCCTCCTCGTATTCGCCGACCCGTCTGCGACCAATCAGCACGCAGGCGAGGGAGTGGGAGGAGGGAGTGTGGGGGGAGTGTGGTGGGGGGGAGTGTGGTGGGGGGGAGTGTGGTCGGGGAGGGGGAGGAGCTGCAGCTGGCGGCAACGGGGGCTTTAAGAGGGCCGGACCCCGATCGGATCATCCTGAAGAAGATTGTGCTGTCGGGGTGAGTTGACAGTCAAGCAGGCAAGTGCTTTAGGGTGATCTGATGGTGAGTTGGTGTAAGGCAGGTTGTTTATGACTAAATTGACAGATGCTTTCTCCCTTGGTGCACTGGGGGGGATTAGAGATACAGGTCTTTTTCTTCCCCTCGCTCCCCCACATCCCCCCCACCCCCCCGCACCCCCGTATAGTCGCACACCCTTTCTCTGCCTCTCTTCCCCCCCTCTCCCTCCTCTCTCTCACGCCCGCAATCTTCCCATGTCAGTGATGACGGACAAGGCAGGGGTGCGATACACGTTGGTCCACCAGGTGACTTTTGAGTCGACTCAAAAGTCATTTTGGACAAGGCAGGGGTGCGATACATGTTGCCCCACCAGCCACCCAGAGGATGCACGACCGCACGGATACGTGCAATTTCCCTTCCTTCTCCCGTCCATCAACCTACCCCCACCCCCTCACCCACTTCTCCCTTCACTCACACCTCCCCTCACTCACTCCTCCCCTCACCCCCATGTGCAGCTACCCCGTGTGGGTGATGAAGCGCAAGTCAGTGTTGCAGCGCTGCAATCGTACTCTCTTTCTCCCTGCCTCTCTTCGCACCCCTCTCCCCTCCCTTCACTCTCACTCGCAGCTACCCCGTGTGGGTGATGAGGCGCAATTCGGTGGTTCGCTACTCACATGTTCCACCAGCCACTCAGGCATACCCTCACCTATAGATGTGCTCTCACCCTTTCACTTCCTTTCACTCCTTTCCTCCTCGCAGCTACCCCGTGTCGGTCATGAAGCGCAAGGCGGTGGTGCGATACATGTTCCACCAGCCAGAGGACGTCAGATGGTTCCAGGTCAGTGCCACGTCAGATGGTTCCAGGTCATTGCCACGTCAGACGGTTCCAGGTCAGCACAATTCCATTCATCTCCCACTTAAATTTCATCCTGCTTCCAGGTCAGTGCCACGTCAGATGGTTCCAGGTCAGTGCCTCGTCAGGCGGTTCCAGGTCAGCACAATTCCATTCATCTCCCTCTGACATTTCCTCCCACCCCACCTGCTTAATAATCAACTTGCACCATGCAGCACGCATGCCCATCCCATCCCCATTTCCATTCTCCCCCATCCCTCTCCCATCCTCCTCTCCCTGATCCCCCTTTCCGCTGTCCCTCTTATCAGCCACACTAGTTTTCATGCCCCTGCCTCCCCCTTCCCACCCTCTCTCCCCCCTTCTCACCCTCTCTCCCATGGGATCTTTTCACCAAGTACCTTGGTGTGGCCGCAGTCCCGCTATGCACAGCACCCAGCCCTCTGCCCTTTTCCCACTCCCATGTCCTCCTCCCTCTCCCTAACTCTTCCCAGGGGGCGTAGTCACTCTAAACGCACGATGCAAAGCAAGTCCCTCTCCGCGCTCTTCCCGATCCCCACTCCCCTCTCTCCGCTCTTCCCTTCCTTCTCCGCGCCCTCTTCCCCCGCACCAGCCAGTGGAGCTCTTCACCAAGTACGGCCGGAGGGGGCGCATTCGCGAGCCTGTGGGCACCAAAGGTGGGTGTATGGGTGCTGAGCTGTGCTGCACGCGGAATCTCCACATGGTATCTGTGTGTGGTGGGCATGGACCATGGCGTGTGTGGTGGGCATGGACCATGGCGTGTGTGGTGGGCATGGACCATGGCGTGTGTGGTGGGCATGGGCCATGGTGCGTGCGGTGTATATGGGCCATGGTGCGTGCGGTGTATATGGGCCATGGTGCGTGCGGTGTATATGGGCCATGGTGCGTGCGGTGTATATGGGCCATGGTGCGTGCGGTGTATATGGACCATGGTGCGCGCGGTGTGCATGGACCATGGTGCGTGCAAGTATGCTAATGTCCCACACAGGCGGGTGCAATCAACTGTGTGTTTGGCAGTGTGATGCTATTGTGTGTCCACCGGTGCTCAGTTCTTCCCCATCTCCCCCACTTGCTTCTACTCCTCTTACTTCCACCCCTCTTGTGTGCATCCTAATGCCTCTCATCACTGCCCGCCAAGAGCAATCAAGCGTGTGTCCAACAGGGTGGTGCTATCATGTGTCCACTCATGCTTTCACCCCAATGCCTCACTTGCTTCCATCAACCCCTGCCAGGAGCGATCAAGTGTGTGTTCGATGGGGTGGTACAGCAGCGCGATGCCGTCTGCATGGCCCTCTACAAGCGAGTCTACCCCAAGTTCCCCGTCCTGCCAGCCTCCCTTTGAGCAAATGAGTCTACCCCAACCAAGTTCCCCGTAGCTGCTGATTGCATACATGTACTACTGTACTCTGTTTTGTGGAGTTTTAAGCAATTGCTTGGATGTCTCAAGTTCCCTAACGTTTTCGTTGTGCAGTCAGTAAGTACGCTGTTGTAGCCCGTATTAGAGCTATGCTTACCGTAACAGCAGGTTGCCAGGTTTCTGATTAGAAGAGCGTTAGACTGCCAAATATGATATACATGCAGATTTCTAAAGTTTCATAAAACATATTATTAAGGGTTGAATACACACATCCTTAAAGGTATGGTAAATAGCAAACCACCCCCCTCCCCCTCCCCCAAACGCACACATACACACACACATCCACCCACACACAACACAGGAAGCACACTCGAAGCTCACAATCCCCAAGGGTCTACTAGAGCAACAAACCAGCAAGCCAACATATGCAGTCAGCCAACCATGAGCCAAGTTGGTTCCTGGCCTCCGAGCAACCGCATGCAGTTGCTCGCACCTCTGCTCCATCAGCCCCTGTCGAGACATCCCTCTGGCACCGCCAGCTTGGGCCTCCTTGCCCAGTGCGCATGCAACTAGGGTAGCACACTCTTTGCCCGCCCTGCTGTCCCATTGTCACGTCCCTCCCTCCAGCGCTGCCAGCTTGCGCCTCCTTGCCCCCTGCGCCTCCAACTAGGGTTGCACGCTCTTCCACTGCCTGCTACCATACCCTGTAGAGTGACCACAATCAGTTCATGGTTGCAATGAGAGGGCAAACGGAGGACAGGGCACAATGTAATGAGTGAGATGAGACAGAAAGTGATAGCGGCATGTGGATCGGGTCGATCAAGGGTGCTTGTGGGTGGTGGAAGGTGCTTAGCTCGTTCCATGGGCTGGGAAGAGAGCAGGACAGAAGGCAGCGTGTGCATCTCTTTTTTAACGTGTACAAAAACGATCCACACATGTAACAAGAGAGGGAGGGGTGAAACACACAGAATGTCTTGCCTAACGAGGTTTAAGAGAGATTGTGGTGAAAGGGGGGTTGTGTCTCGCTCTCTTCTCTTCTATTAAATGCTTCCTGTATTCCTGTTTTTGCCAGTACAAAGCCATGTGGGGGGGTATAAGCTGCTGAGGTAATGTGACATAACAGAGATTGTGGCCATAGGGTCATGCGTATGCACTCGCACTTACTGATCTCGCAGCTGATTGATAGCGGCATGTTTCCGTTCTTGACAGTCCTGCGAGCGGGAAATGTATGGTACGGAATTCACTATTTAAGACAAAAACACAGTATATGCAGACCGAGAAAAAAATCTGAATGGTTTTGTATGCTAGGAACGAACCTCAGAAGAACATGGCACACGCACACCTTTTCGTGTCGGGGTAGACATTGCCAACGCTCGCAGGCCTCACGATCGTCAAGCCCCGCTTGCCCTTGCAGTCCGGGGCGTTGTGAAACGAAACGCTCGCGCACAAGTCATTCCCATACGCGCCGACAACTGACGACGAGTTCCACTCGAGCCCGATCTTCACATGGGCGTTGGGCTTCCTGACCCGGGGGTTCAGTGCGGTGCTGGCGGCCAGGTCGCTGCAGCGGTGCCACTGGCCCGCGCTGTGGGCAGCACAGAGGCTGTGAACCAGAAGAGCTCATCGCCTGAGCCCGTCCGCTGCAGCCGCACTGCCGTCCGCAGCATGCCGTCTGAGCGGCCAGCCGCCGTGGCGATTGATGAAACAACGGTTGGTGCGTTGTGGTGGCGCCATATCGTGGCGATTGATGAAGCAACGGTTGGTGCGTTGTGGTGGCGCCATATCGTGGCGATTGATGAAGCAACGGTTGGTGCGTTGTGGTGGCGCCATATCGTGGCGATTGATGAAGCAACGGTTGGTGCGTTGTGGTGGCGCCATATTGTGGCGATTGATGAAGCCGTGGTGATGATGTGGGCCGACGCGGCGCCGTCCAGTTGGGAAAGAGAGCACAAAGCAGGGTTGAGAGGGGTTCGGGAAGCAGAAGTTAGCGCGGATGAGGGCATGGCTTAGGGCATGGATGAGAGGCATGGTTTAGGGCGTGTGTGAATCTAAATATTACCATATGTTTACATTTTGGACTCGATTGTAGCAATTGAACACAAAGCGAGCCTGACTCGATTTTGAGTGCTTGCAAAGTTCGAACCGCCAGAGTCAAAAGTTGCCAACTCACAATCACACACGCAAGTGCGAATTTGCAAGTTCGAGCTTGTAGGGGGGAACCGAACCGCCACTAGGGTGTGTAGGTTACCCAGTATCGGCATCTTGACAGTGCGACACGTCAACGGAGCGCGCCCCCCAAATGGACCCTCTAGACATCCACCTCATCATCGTGCCCCGCATGGACCACCTAGCTACAAGGTGAGTTGGCCCGGCCTGCTCCAACTCACCATTCTACAATGTCTCTCATTGAGCTAGTGCGCTTTCTTGGAATTCTCCTCCAAGGTTTCCAAGAATGTTTCCAGCTACCAGCACTCACCGCCATTGGCGCTGCAATCCCGGCTCTCGTCGCAACGTTCACTCTGCGACAGACCCGTGTCTTCGTTCGTGGGGATCGTCAGGATGCACGAATCAGATGGTTCAAGTTGATTACCCTGCTGCCCGAGGGTAATTTTTACGAGTACATGCGCGTCGACCGACGTGTGTTTGTCTACCTCGTGCGTCAATACCAGCGGAACTACCCCTCCAACCGCAAGCCACCCCTTTTCAACTTCGTGTTTATCGCTATGGGACTTAGTCGACTTGGACACGGCCTTTCATTTCGCCAAATCGGTCTGCACTTTGGGTATTCCTACTCCCATGCCCAGAAACTATTCACCGAATTTCTTGACTTTGTGAACAGGGTCCTACTGGAGAAGTGGGTCATCTGGCCCGACCTTGAAATGTTACAAGTGTTCGAGCGTGAGTTCCGTAACGAAGCCGGCATTCCTGGAGTGGTTGGTGCCATTGACGGCACCTACATACATTGCCGTGGTCAAGGCCCACATTGCGAAGATTTCAGGAACAGAAAGGGATTATTTAGCATTATTGCACAACTCATCTGCGACTGCGCAGGCTACATCTACGACTTCTACGTCGGATGGCCCGGCAGCGTCAACGACGCTCGGGTCTTCCAGCACAGCCCGGCGAGGCAAAAGATTGAACTAGGGGGCTCTACGACTACGTCATCGTCGCCGATGCGGCATACGGTCTACGGGTCTATATCCATACGCCTTACAGGGCGCTGCCTGGTCGCGGCCTGCCGGACGAACAGCGCGTGTGGAACCTGCAGCAATCCCGCGCCAGGATGATCGTCGAGCAGGTAAATGGCCGGCTGAAGACGCGCTGGCGGATTTTGGACGGTCGATTGGAGTGCGATATCTTCCGCGCTCCCCAGTACGTTTCGGCCTGCATCGTCCTGCACAACATCGATCTTCTTCTCGGACCCCGTCCTCGGCTCCTCCCTTCGCGCGAGCGCAACACCTGGTGGCAGCACGGCCCCGCGGCCGACATGCCGCATTTCACGCCGCGCGACGAAGGCTTCACGCTGATTCGTCGTCGCGCTCGGATGGCGGCGTGCTTTTACGCTTCTTGGAGGCTCGGTCATCCCGAGCTTGCTCGACCATCTCTTGGGTACGATCCATAAATGCATCAAACTGCTCCTGCATGGCACCTTTCACGGAGTGAGCAATTATACCCGCTATTTCCCTACACAGTGTGGCATCACTCGAACTCATAAGACTTGACATTGCGTTTTCACCCGCGTCATTGCCCGTGTTCCCTTCACCACCAGTCGCAGGCCCAGGCCGACGGTTGACCCCACGCCCGCGGAGCGAAGCTCCCGTGCGCGCACCGAGGACATGTGAGCGGACGGGGTTTGCGGCAGACTCTGTGGGCTCGTCATCCGCCGTCAGCGAAGCTGGCGGCAGCGGCATGTTCGAGGGCGAGCCAGTCGGAGAGGATGCCGAGCGCTGACTGTCAGGGCGGCGCTGTCCTGCCCTCGCACGGCCCGGCGAGGCAGATGCTGTCTCATGCACGCCAGTCTGGGGCACGCCTGGAGTAGGCCGGGTACGATCTGTCATGACGTACCGAGGGGTACGGGGGAGGGATTTGTGGGATTGGGGTAGGGGGAAGGCATACATTAGTGGGTGCTATCCGGGGTAGGGTGATTTGCTGTGTATGACATTGCATTAAGCAGCTATTGCCTTATGCCAACTTTACACGCTGAAAGCCGTAAAACACGAGTATCTCATGCAAATAATGGACTTACTAGCCGTAGTGCTTGTTGACGGCAAGTTCACCACATTAGCACCAGGCAGACTGCCGGCAAGAGCGGGCGGCCGGGCATTTGCGCGATCGCCTAGGATACGGTCGAAAATGTCATAGAAGATGGGCATCTTCGGAGAGCGACCCTTGCCCGAACCATTCAACAGGAGGTCCCCCACGCGCCTGTACTGCGCCTCCATACGGAAGACCTTCGCCTTCACCGCTGCATAACCGTGACGGAACTCAGGGTGGCGGGATTTGAGCTTATCAAAAAGCATTACGTCACGGTTCTGGCCTTGCAAGCGGTTCTGGCTGCGCCACTGCTCGTCATAGTCGTGGCGGATCCACGCTAGCTGCATGACCTCGTGCGGCTCCCAGCGCGCGCCCGTGGGCGCCATGGCGGGGTCGGTGTCTTCGTAGGCGGTGTCGTCAACGTCGCAGTCTACTTTCCCGGCATCAAAATACGCAAGCGTGTCGTCGTCGCCGTTAAGCGGGGTGTTGTGAGCGGGTACACGAGCAACAACTTGGTCGAGATCAATGACGTCTAGGCGGCGCGCAGTAGTATTCTCTACAGTTGCACGACGACGGCGTGGTGTGGTGGTGACAGAGACGGGAGCAGCGGGTGTGCCATTTTTTTCACCTTGAGATGTTGACATTGTGAAAACACAAGTCGGACAGGGTGGGATGGGGTTTCTGGTCAAATGTATAGTACTAGCGGTGCAACATTTTCTTGTCTCCTGTGG